CCCCCTCCCCCGACAGCGAAGATACACATTATTTTGTGGTAATTAAATTCCACAGATTTCGCTTCTTCACCGCCCGCGCCCTTCGTCAGACTCTCATCGTCGTGTACCGATCCCGACGGTCGTCTATCCGTTGTTGTATACATATAAGGCAGTGCTGCAGGGGGTTCTTGATGTTTGCAGAAAAATACAATCTATATACCTATTCCTCCCCCTCCCCCCTCAATAGCCATTCATGGGAAAATTGAATTTCACGCTTGTCCTACTCAACCAACCATCGTCCTCCGCAAAAGGTTAAACTGGCTTAGAGATTATCAACGACAACGGGGTCGAGGTGGTGGTGGCGGTGGTGGTGGTGCAGCAAGTTTACAACGTTGATTTCAATTTAATTAACGACTTATTAACGACCATATCGACACGCGCTCGCCGAACACACATACAGCACGTAATATATTGTGTATATACATCATACTGCACTGATGATGTGTAGTGTTTTATTATAGTTGTGTACTACCTATACATATATATGTGTGTGTTATATTATTATATAGTTTGATGAATGGCGAGATTGCTGTCTCCAACTTGTAGATATATATATTTACATAATAATATACAATATTATAGTATAAATTATTATATTATGTACAATATACACGAGCATACGCATGAGTTTACTGAAGGGTAGGTGGTGATGAGCGGGTGGGCGTGCTTAGGCCCCGTGACTGCGTACATACGATATGGGGCGCGCGTTAGACACTTTTCCGGGCGGAACATGTACCGCGTGAGTACACGGGCGAGGGTGGTGGTGGGTTGGCCGTTATTGGTACTTGACGGGATGAGAGGGCGTCGTCGTCGTCGTCGTCGTCGTCGATGAAATCGATTTCAATGCACAAACATATATCACACGTTTACATGCGTACCCCATACATACCACCAACACCCACTGACGGCGAGGTTTGTGTTTGTATATATATTTTTTTTTTTACATAAAAGCTGGAACAAAAAACAAAAAAAACGTAATCCGAATGACGGACGGCCGTCCAGCAATGTACCGCCCTGGCCGTAAATGGCAGGTACCTATACGCTGCAACAGCGAATGAATTAATCAAATGGCTTCCGCCACCATTGCTATTTTTTTTTCCAGTCTGCCTAAATCGACTCGTTACCTTTTTTCAGTTCTCCACTCCTGTTGGATTGTATCAAAAAAGCTATACCGACATCAATGTGCGGCGCAGATAAAAATAGACCTAAGTGATTATGTTGTTAAATTGAACACTCGCTTGAGGATAAAACTCGTCTTTTAAACTTTCTTCCATATAAGATTCTTTATATTTTACAATGTTATAATATTATGTAATATTTATTGATATTATTCGTAAATAAAGATTACTACTTTTTTCATCGACGTTTTTGTTTAAGCCCAATCTACATACACGCTTGCAAAATTATTATAATAATAATCCATTATTCTTTGTTCCGCAGTAACTTTTTACAACTCTGAAAATAACACAATTTTAACCTTATTTTGAACCGAGTAAATACTTTAAGGAACTTAATAAAGTATTGAATTATTTTGCTTTTCCTCCTTGAAATATTATCGCAAAAAACCTAAAAATATAAATATATGGACTGGGTCATATTATGTTTATAACCAAATATTAACACTTTTTTGGCAAATAAAATTTTATTTTGACATTAATATTGTTGCATTTAAATTTGAAATTAAGAGTATACTACGATTATGTGTCATCATCTATTTATTTTATTTCAAAATAAGTTTCTTTTTCATTTAGAAAATATCAATATATTATATTTTATTATTAAATGGAAACGTAGTAACAAAAAATAATTTACCAGAAATTATACCTATTGTTTGTATGTTCTATACAACCTCTTGTGTTAAATATTTTTTGTAATAAATTAGCAATGAACGGATTTCCACATAATACGTTGTTATATTATCTCTACTGTTATAGTGCTGTGTTCTTTAATAAATTACTTCTATATATATAAAATAATGCTATATCTTTTTGTAAGCTTTTTTAAGTTAACTCATTAAAAACCCATATTTTTAATTTTTAATTTGTAAGACTCAATTTTAGTCGGTTTTTATAAATATACCGAAAATTATAATCATAAATAATGAAACTAGACACTAATTAGCTGTAAAGCGAATAGTTTTACATGAAATGTATGATTAAAAAGTAAGATAATTTATTATTCATAAAACTGTATTTTCGTAAAAAGAGAATCTAATTACTTGACGACATCAATTGAGTATTGAATTTAATTGTCAATTAAAATTTTATCAAGTAACCGCTCTTGGCTTCAGATCAGAATATTAGCCTGTGTTCGTATTTTGACAAACAATTAATTAAAATTTACTTCACTAGAAACTTTTTAGAAAAATAACATAATCAAATCGTCGGAATACTTAATCGTCATGAACTTTAGAAATAAGTTTTCAATAAAGTTCTACATCAAGAAAAGCTTAATCAATTTTTGGCTAAAGTTTTTCTTTATAAATATGCATAATTTAAAAGCCACTTTTAACTTTTTTCTATCGTACGTAGAACTTTATGTTTGTCGCAGTGGTGTTTTCGAAACGTCCATTCCAGACTAACCAGCATTTATTTAAATATACGTAAAAGTGTTTGCAGTCATATTATATTTTAAAATTATTTCAATATTGTGTTTACTTATGTATTTTTTTTCTTACGATAAATGAATGGTTTCCAAAGAAAAAAACATTGCAACCGACATATTTAAAATTATAAAAATGAAGTATACACAAATAAAAACAAACTCTTAAAAAACTATGTTCGACGGAAAAAAACTACAGCTTTTATATTTTTTTATGGGTATCAATGTATTTAAACAGTAGATTATAAATGAAAAGGTTTTTCTGATGTTTCCGAACGATTATAATGGTTAAACTACGCGACATTGCCGTGAAAAGTACCACCATAAACGTTTACGTTATCATAGATAATACTTATACAATATCTACCAGAGTGGCACAGAACTAATAGTAATACGAAACGACCAACTTTTCACATATATATACATTATACACAAAACTTTTTTTCCCCCATAAGAAAGAATACCATGTAACTGTAATAATTCTACTCTCTTCCTAGGCGCCTAACGGCTGAATATGATCACCGTACGTTATGTCAATCGTTCGGTTATGTTATTTAGATGAGGCTTTTACGTTTTTTAAGGGGTTCGATTGAACATTAACTAAATCGCAGTAAAAAAATGTTTAATGGAACAATATCATCGAAGGAGAACACAATATGATATTTGTTTACCAAAAACCGAACTGTTGTGCCGCAGCTAGTAGATACATATGAAACATTATTTTTCACAAACTTACTTGCCAACTCAAATAATAATAAAAATGGGCATAATAAAAAAGCAATGTAGGTACATATGTGTTATACTGATATTATGCGATGTCCAACAAAAGTTTTTAGTTGACTGATTCCAACGTTTCGTTTTTGAAAATAATTCGTACTGCCTAGTTCATTTATTTAAAATATTATACTAAGCCATTTTCTATTGCTGTATAATAGGTATAATAGGTATAATAAGATACGGATGATAATATTATGCTAATGGTTTCTCATATTTATTTTATGCGATTTTTCACATTAAATGAAAGAAGTGTTTTTTTTTTTTATTAGGACGATAATAACGTAGGTATGGTATACGATAAACGACAACAACGTTCCTTCAGTTTTGTACCTAGATATTACTTTCGTAATATTATATACTGTAGGTCTGTAGCTCTTCCCACTTGCCCTTCTCACCTATCAAATGGGCTAGATAAATTCATATAATTCAGTGTAGGTGGAATGTACTCTCATTTACGTTATTCGCATCGAGCTCGGGCGACGGATATAAATTATGAACAAATATAAAATACTCCACCTTTACAATTTTTCACTTCTCTCCCTTAACAATGCCCCTGTGTGCTATTTACGCGAGGCCGGTTTTTATTTTTTCCTGCAGGAGTGCAGGACATATATAAACACCACGTATTTTGGTAGACATAATTGATTGTTTTTAATTGAGTCGAGTGTGCATATAAATATATTATACGCAGCCCTGGGAATTCAGCGTAACTGGTGGATTGTTCGGTTGTATTAAAATAAAAAAATAAACATAAAAAAAATTGGTCCTTTATTTATAAATCTCTCCGGTAATCCCTTGGCTTTGGAAATATTCTGTCCGTCTTCTTTATCGCAGAAGGATAATTCATCAAAAATAAAATACACACTTACACATACAAATATATATACAGCGAATAAGAGAGAGTGAGTAAACCGATAAAAACCGCGTTTATACACCTGAAACAAAAACGAGCTTATCTTTTGCGCGAGAGGCGTGAAGCGAGATCGGCGGCGGTGGTCGTGCTACAGACCTACAGGTGATGAGGGTAGACGACGAGGGTGGATGAAGCACGAGAGCAGAGAGTGTTGTGCCGCCACCGGTAGATGGATGTGACTAGGGAATAATAAATGGAAATTGTGTATATATACGTTTCTAACGGCGGCGGTGGTGGCAGCCATTGTTTGGCTTTTAATTGGGTTTCAACGTTGGGCCAGCGCAATAAATCTGGAAGAGTTACTACGAGGGAAGTTTATGTGAGCAACGGTTTTGTGGAACAATATAAAATATTAAGCCATATATATATATATATTATATACAAACTCGACATACCCCAAAGAAATTGTAATCTTCATGTAAATTTCCATTTGGCGATGTCAAGTTTTTTTTATTCCCGTTTTGTATACCATATATTATATATTACTGATTTAATAATATGTACATACCTAAGTATTTATAATGTATACGGAACTGGTATTATTCAATACCACTGTGCAGAGTCTGACCAGTGCGCACTGCGCATGCATACTATAATAAGTATACCAGTAACCACCCAACTTTGAATCAAAATTTTTTTTTGTTTGTTTTTTATTAGTTCAAAGTTTTCCTGACGTATGTCATCTAAAAGTTATTGTTAACAGAATTAAATTTGTTGAACATTTGTAAAATAGATAACCATTAATAGTAAAATATACTATCTACTACTTGTTTATGTATTTAAAAGTCAGAAGACAAAAGAAAATAAAATAAAAATAATCGAATTTCATACCTACCAGCTATGACGATAATGCACCTTTGGTAGTTGTCCAGACGGTATAGAAGTGGCTCGGGCAACACTGCAAAAGAATAAAACACGTCCTTAAACGCGTGTAGAGGTCATAGTTATAAGCGAAAGATATCTAACGTAGCTTATTATTATTATTATTATTATTATTATTATTATTGTAAACCTCATAAGGACCTTGTGTCGAGGCAGACTGTAACCACCGTGGTAGGTTCTTTCTTCTGTCATCACGATGTGTGATATTTTGTATGCAAATTTATTTACATATATCCGGTAGACTATATTATACATGAAGTAGATGATTCTCGTGTCGAAAATAATAAGGCGATATCGAAAATAAACGCATAATAATAATATATCCAAAACAGGTATACATATATTATAATTTATAATATCATACCGATATACTAACTACGGTAGAAATAAACGAAATTCGATTAGGCAAACACAAAAGAGTTTCGTTTGCATTATTTTCAACGTTATTGATTTTATAAATATTTCTTATTCCTATATCAGATATTTCCTAATACTTGTTTTAAAAAAAAAAATATTGTAACTCCAGAAGCAAAAGAATATAGATGAGATTTGAAGATTTTTCAATCAACTATAATCGTGTCATACTTAAACATTAATCTTTTCATATTATTGTATTATGATTGTGTATGTGCTGTTAATTATTATAGAATAGAAGTGTGAAAAAAATAAACGTAATTGCTAAAGTTTGTGTGTGTAACTATAGGATTTATTGTTTAGAAATCACAAAAGCCATGCTTATGACAAATAAAAAGATTACATTTCATATTATAGTAGTGTAAACAGCATGATTGAATAAATATCGTACATTTTTTTATACATTTTTTAAATTTACATAAAATTATAAAGACATTAATTTAGTACCTATGTATCTCGAATGGGTACATTTTTAGATGGGTATAGTCTCCGCATAGCTCTCCCTAATTAGTTTAGCAATTAAGTCAAATATCTATTTTATAGATTATTCATTATGAACTCTTGACTAGGGAAATAATGATAATTATTGTCTGAAAATGTAACGAACAAACTACAAAATAACTATGATCAAAATAATATTATTGCGGTTATCGTTGAATGCAGACCCGTTGGGTTATTTTTTTTCATCGAAACAGACTCGTGGATTACATATATGTTATTGTAGATAATTTGTATGCACTATAAAATATACATAATATATACGGAAAGAGAGAAAGTTTAATTCTGTTGGGAAGTAGAAACAACGTCGTTTTTGTCATAAAACAACAAGCACAATTTGCACACCAATTACACAACAATCGCTTTTGGCGAACGAAACAGAATATTTCACTTTACGAATCATTTTCCAATTTTCTCTTTTAATTAACCGTCATAATTCAATCCCACGACGATTTTTCGAACCGATTCCTCCCATATTTTTTTTTTTAACAAATGACACGTTTAAATAAATGAAAAAGTAAAATCAATTATTCGAAATTAAATTATAAATAAAAAATCGTTAACGAATCTGTACCACAGTTGAACGAATTCGTTTAGGGGAATTAATATTCCCATTTAGGTACAGTTAGAAAGTATAATATTATAATATATTGTTTGAATCCCACTACACATACTAAATCGAAATAATTCAATTAAATTGGCAAAAGTATAAATTTAGTACCCATCTGCAGAAATCCGTTTGCCTTTTGTCGCTGAAAAAACTAATAATCAACGTTTACCTAATTAACCGTTGGATTGGTCGGCAATAATTTTTTACTGCCCGTTTATATCACCTTGTCTTTCTTGTTTACATTACGTGTAGGTTATTGACGTATGCTGTCCGTTTGACGAATCGCGGCGATTACACGGGTAGATAAAAAAAAAAAACAATAATATTTTACACATTATACCTACGGCTGTAGTTATATATTGAGTGAAGCGTTTTTTTCTTGCGCGGTGGTCGTTTCGATTTCGGGCGTGTACCATCACACCGGCACATTATACCTACCTCAACCGTGTTCGCGGTCTTGTAGGGTTGATCACCGCGTTGTCAACCGCGGTATGCTCTGCGGGCCCCGCGGCGGTGCTGCTGCAGCGTTAAGCCGCGCTCGCGATCGCGTGTCTTATCCGCGGTTGTTGTCACAGCTGGCGTTTGATTATTATTCCCGCGAAGGACGGTGCGCATAATGATCACGACTGTCTTCGTTTCCCGCTGAGGATCGCAGGCTCGCTGTGCAAAACGACAGTGTTATAATATTACATATTATTTATTATAGCTCGGGGGGATCCCCGAAGAACGTGCGCTCTTGATTCAGAAATCGTTGAGGAACGCGTTGAGATGTATACTTTTGGACCTCTATATTAATACGAATTTAATACCAAACCGACATCGATGTGAGACTTCACCACATGTGTGTGCATGTGTGTGTCGGAGTATTGTTCCTGCGTGCGCGTGTGTGTGTGTGGCATTATTTTGCGCTGGGCGACCGTCGTTGTCGGAGCAAAGCGCCGCTCGCTATTGATTTCCCTCGGGCGGCGGCGGCGGCGGCGGTGGAGGCGAAATTACCCGCCGCCGGTCTCAGTCGTTATTGTACGACACGATGTTATATACAGCGAAACGGACGCGATAAACGACGACGGGCCAACCTTGGCCGGGTAAAGAGCGACTAGATCTCGGGACACTCGTATACCTATATAATTTATATATATTATATATACACATATAAATATACATATACGTGTACACATACATAATATTACATACAATATACATGATCTAGGGATAGAAGTGACGCGAGGGTGACTAAGGTCGGAGATAATATATTATATATATATATGTATAACGCGTGTATAAGACAACGACAGGGGGCGACGAAGTAGCACACGCATAAACGGCGTAATGATATGTATATATTATTATTATAATATAGTCGCGTGAGTGCGTGCGTGAGTGCGTGCGTGCATGATGATAATAATAATAATAATAATACCACTGTCGGCGCACGTGAAATCGATCGGATCCGAATGATATTATATATACGATATAGTAGGTAATAATAATAATAATAATAATAAGAAGAAGAAGAAATAATAAACTAAGCGATATGCGTGACAATAATATGAATATAAAACGAAAAAACTAAAAATTGTCGATACGCCGACCGGTGGCACTTTTTGTCATTATTATTTGGCTCCAGAAGTCGACACCGAGTGTATTATAGTAACTATAAAAGTGTACTGCTGCACAGTGAGATGCACGGACAAACTGCATAGGTTGTGTTATTATACTCATTAGAATTTAAACTCGAATACATATTTTATACCAACTACCAAGTTTACACACCACTCTTTTGACCCCGACACGCGACACGAGAAGAAAACGGCTGATATTCACTATATTGTCGCCGCCGCACGGTCGATGAAAAATATAAAGAAATAACAAGGTCACCTAATGTCATGGAATTTATGCATAGAACACTGCACTTTTAGACTATTGCAAAATACTGATTAAAAAATTTTTTATACCTTATTGATACTAGATTGTTATTGCCATGACGAGTAGGCATAAAAAACTTGCAGAAGGATAGATTTATAAAAAAACGGCACGATCGATAAGACATGTATCGTAATAATAAATGACCACGTCATGTTATTATAGTATTATGATATATTATATAGTTTAAATGCACGCGGTTATCTCATTGTGTTGTTGGTGAATTTTTTTTCATTTTTATAATCTTTGTTGAACAAAAAAACTGATCTTGATTTAATGAAAACACACGTGTTGGACGACCTGTTTTATATCTATATACAATAAATTTCAAACCTTCACAACACTTTAGTTAGCGAATGTGTGTAAATCAAATTTAAACTATGAACTTTCTATTTTTTTTTCACTATCTCAGCGGAAGTTGTTCTTTTTATTTTCCATTTTGTTCTATAGATTTACACTTTTTACTTCAATTATTACGATCGCTTATAGTTCAATAAATAAATTTATCTTTCAAATTAACCTTTATTGTAGCCGCTGATAGTGCCACAATTCTGTGTCTAAAAGGATGCAGCAAGATTAATTATTCCAAACACAATCCAATATTTAATCTAACTTTTTAGCGTAAAATGTGGAACGGCGTTATGTATAGGCAATATAGGTACATCACTGCGTAGAAGACCCACATCGGCTGTTCAATAATTAATTATTAATGCCATCCTTTGTGTAAAACTAAGTGTTTTTTATCTAGATATACACATTTTGTTTGAGTTTTGAATTTCTTAAATAACTATGCAGGTATTCTAAATAACGGTATATCTATCATATATTTTACCAATGAATCAAATTATAAGTGTACGTAGTATTTTGATAGATATTGTTGTACAAACATCATTGAGCTATTTTTATTTCAAATAATTAGATTTCTGTTGTTTAGAATTCAATAAAAAGAAAACTCTACATTTTAAAATTAACTTAATTAAAAACAATTATCTGTCTCCGTTGTTCGAAAATTATCGACCCACCTCATAATTGTTTTTCGATTGGGAACAGCACCAACGTTGAAGTGATGTCTGAACTGCAAGCTGTACCCCAGCTACCGATTCATTGCTTTTCCCAAACGCGTCGTATGCAAACATACAGTGAACGACACTCAACTACGCCACAGTGACAACTAAAAGACATCATCTGACGTGTCGAATGAGCTTATTTAGACCTTCCTACTCATATTGAGCGTTGATAAAAACACATCTATTTTTGGCCCTATTGACGTGGCTCAACCTGTAAATGTTCAATATTATAATACATAATAATTATTTTTTATTGTGATGAAATTTAATTTTTGAAACTCACAAAATAGTTTCAATTTAATTCACATATTACTTTACCTTTAGCAACAAAATTAATATATTAGAAAGTATAAATTAAGTGTGAAAAAACTTAACAACTCTTCATTATTGAAGTACATTAATGTATTATTACTAAAATAAGTAAACTGTGAACACTTACGTATATTGATTTGTATTAGGTAAAAATGTGATCATTTGTAATAACACATAGGTATATATGAATGTATATTATTTCTAATATCTATACATTTTTTTAAAATTAAAATCTACATAGAGAAAATAATAGATATTTCTACTCATGTGAAAATACTTTGTCATAACTTATAATACTATATAATATCACATTATTATCAATAGCATTATGTATGACCTATTATATTGTACGTGCTCACGATTATTCATCCACGCGTATAAGGTATAATACTATAATATTTTTTAGGTTTATTAAAATAGTGTAATATTATCTTGTTCACTAAAACATTACAGCAAATAGTGAGTACATGGAAAAATTAAAAACTATTTTTTTAATCATGTGAACCGTATAGTAGTTCAAAAGAGAATACTATTTAAATTGGGTGAACTATTTTCTGTTTGTATGTATAATATTTTTAATTAAAAAAATATTTGTTCTAGCTTTGACTGATTTTCATTTTAAATATGCACAGCTCGCATCGCATACGTATATTGAAAAAGTGTTTTATATTATTTTTAATACATCAAAGTAATTTTTCAGAAGCGTTTTTGAAAACTAGATAAAAGAATAACGTTTAACAGAATAAAAATGCCCCCGCACCTTCATCTGTGAGACTGTACTCGTAAATGTTATCACCTAAATTCTCGAGACATTTTATTGAAAACTAAATGGATTTATGCGGGAGGAGGTTTAATATATTAAAAGGATATCGAAAAAATAATTAAATTTTATTATATCAGGAAAATTGTCTTATATAATATTATATTGTATAGTATATACCATAACATTGTTTACTTCATAAATAAAGTTAATGAATGGTTGACAATCATCCATTTTCAACGGTACTGACACATAAAATATAGAAGCTGCAGGTTTACGCGTGACAGAAATGTCTAGTTCGTCTTATCCCATCAATCCTTCGAATATTTATTATATTTTTTTTTTTTTTATATAAACACCTCCCCTCTTCCAACGCCATTACAGGGACTTGTTGTATATACACTTGCCCTTTCTGTTTAGCGGTTTTTCGCTTTTTACTTATTTTGCCGCCTGTATCTGCCTCTACTGCGTGTAATATGTATTTTTCCATTGAACTTTTTCCGTTGCACAAACATGACCGTTACGATGAGATTACTGATTTGATCGTCAATACGAACGTCGGTTATAACAACAAAGCGAAAATGGTTTTAACCACGTTTACATATGCACTGTTAATCGAATGTAAATACACGAGGACACACACAAAAGCTCTAGCAATGTTTGGAGACTTTTCCCGGGGACTGCGGACTGTGGTACATAACTTCGTTATGTCGACGCACACGAGGAAAGGGTCCAAATGACAAATGCCGTGTGTAATGATAATTATTTATGTTTACTCATTAGTAGTAAATACACCCGACTGCAGAGCGATATTATTATTATAATTATTCCTTGTGAAAACGTTCTGAGCTGTTATCTGCTAGACCGCGAGTTCCCGGTATCTAGTCATTGTTCACCCTTCATCACTGATGGATTTAAGAGATTGCTTTTTATAAAAAAAAAGGCGAAATTTTCAATTTGATTTTATAACATTGTATGATAATATATATTTTGTGATAAAAATAT